TGCCTCCTGCAGGCATCCAGACCATCCCTTGATATCTGTTTGTCCCACTGTGTAAAGGTGCACAGCTGGTGCATTTCCAAGTGTATTTTTAGGCCTCTCCAGTGAGTGCCCTTGTGTTAGTGAAAGTGCTTACTCTAAAGCCCTACCAGTTGCCAAGAGCTGGTTAAATAATGAATATAGTTCTCAGGTTATTATTGGGTAAAAAACCCCTGATTTTAGACTGAACATTATTCAACCAATTCTGATTGCACTAGAGGGCACTACCTAACATTACCACACCGCCCAGCTTTCGTTCTCAAGCTATTCCACCACTTCTTTTTGCATGCATGGGGTTCTACACCCTAACATTCTTCTGCATGTTAGCCAACATTAATAGGACTTTTAATTGTGTATCAGTGGCTTCACATAGCCCCACCTGTACTATTTTGTATCTTAGCTCCACTTGGGTACATGGGACCATTCCTCCTCTGAGACTTTTGTGCTTCTTTTTGGGCAGGAGTCAGTGTATAGAGAAGAGGGTGTATGAGATGCAACGTTCAGAACAGAAAAAGCAAGGGGGGGAAGACTATATTTTGCTGGTGAGTTGAGAGTGTGTGTCAGAAGACTATTTATGACCTAAGAGAGTATGCAGTGCTAGAAACACTGTGCTGTAGTAGCATTTATGAAGTTAGAAACCATTTCCTTGTAAATATCCTTTAACAAGGTAGCACTTAGTTGGCCTCTGCTGCTTTCTGTGTCACCTGCCCTCACTCTTTTCAAGATTCAGCTCAGCTTTTCTTTTGAACAACTCTCTGATTTCCCTTCTTCCCCCTCCAATAAGATACTAGATACACTCCCTGCTTTCTCTCTGAAATGGGTCTCTCAGTGGGAAGGAAAGTGAAAAAAAGGCCATAGTTAAGCTACAATGATCTCAAGGTCAGTCAATTTACAAAGCATTTGGGCTGGCTGTACATTAGCACATAGGTTCTTGCTCACCTTGTGGGTCTCCAAGTGCAGGCTGGTTCAGTACTGATCCCAAAAAACAATGTTCCCCCTCCTCCCCACATAGAGTGCTCATCTTTACATGAGGCAGAGACAGGCGTGAACTTGCAAGTCCATGCCACTTGCTGTATCATTCAGCAAAAGGTACTCATCCTGCAGAGCTGCACCACTGCCCCACTTTGGCCCTGCTGAACTCAAGCACATATCCCAGTGGTACTTAAGTCCCACTTCCGGGGTAGTGAAACTCCAGGGGAACTCTAACTTTAGAGAGAGACAGAGCCCAGTTATCATATGTAACTAGCTTGGTCATTGTCATATCCCAGTTCTGCATTTGAGCATCTGAGTAACCCTATGCTTGGAAAAAGCTGTGTATTTTGACCAGCACTGAACAAATGTAAAGCATGATTCTCTACTGAGAAGTGTTTCTACCAAAACACTATTGTGGGGTTCCATGTTTATTGTATGTCAGTGTTTTCCCATAGCAAATGTACACAGCTTATAAGTAAAAATAAATATTTAACTGTCAGCCCTGCTAGCAATGGGACTTTAGACTTAAGTTGGGATCTTTCCTTGTCATGCATCACCCACAGTAATAATAGACCCACAGACCAAGTTTTGCTGCCGTACATTAGTGGGGCTAACTCACCAGCCAGTACATCAAATGACACTCCCAAGAACAGCAGGATTTCAATCTCTTCTCGCTTCAGGGTTGAGTTTTATTTCTCCATATCAAAAACAGTTCAACATAAATCAAACCAGGTTCCTTCCACTGAGGCAGCATTTCCTCCAAGAACTTACCTACTCCCTGCAGGTCTCACTTTCAACTCAGTGGCTTGCTGGCCTTTCATCTAAAGGCCAGGTGACCTGCAGGCTACCACCTGGTCTCAGGCCCATCACTTGGGAGGCAGCTCATTGGTTACACTTAGGGCTAAACCATCTTAAAGAGACATCCCACCCTATGACAGCTAGTAACAGCTGTGTCTAGGGAAAAAATGTTTTCCCCTTTTAAATAAATTTAGTGCGAGTGAAAAGTCCTTTTTACCTATAGAAAAAGCAGGGTGGGCAGTGGCAGTGCAAGGTTCTGGACACCTCCCTACAAATATACCTCAGCCTTGACAGACCATCCATAGTAGTAAGAGACTAAGCAACTGTGCAGGGGTCTCCTGAGCCAGAACTAAGGCATGATGATGAAGTAGTGAGGGAAGCTATCACAAATGCTGCTTGGATATTGACCATGTTCTATGGTTAATTATAGGACTTCACTCCTCCAGGACAGATAATTGTAATGTGACAACTGTAATAGGCTCCACATTTACTTTAAAACCATCAGGTCAAAACCCTAGGTGGCACTGGCATGTAACTGCACAGTGCACATTAATGTTATTGGATGTCAAGTGGCCAAATTCCTTTGCAACGTTCTGGGGGCTTGATCCTGAAATCATTTTTACACATCTCAACAGATTAACTCCACTTACTCCATGGGACTACTGGTATGAGAAGGGACTATGCATACTCAGAAGGGCCTGCTGGTTCATACGCTAATCTTTTACATGTCAATGCCGAATTACAATACCTGCTGCATAGTATTCCTTTAAGGTCCCTGATAAATAATTAAGATTTCCATTGAAAGCCCATAACTTTATTTACACAGGAAACAAGTAACTTGTGTTCTGCTGGGACCTCACCATAGAATGGAGAGTTGTCCAGGAGTTTACAGTGCACAAAATTCTTGGAAGTGTCACATTAAAAGCAAATGAACACAGTCCTAAAAGCCAGTTTTAGGACATCTCTCTCACCTAGACGCTGTATTGGCTGTGAAACAAAACATTAGATGCCAGGCACTGCATCACATTATGTAACACATTGTTTATTTTACTTTTTTCCTTAATAATCCTAACTCATTGCGGTTAGAGGAGTGCATACAAGATATACCAAGAAAAGGGGGAAAAAAGTGTCACTATAAATCATTGTATTCTGCTACATTTATGACCACATCATTGTTGGTTTGTTCTTTTTAAAAAAAAAAAAAAAAGGTTTTTTTTCCAGCCAAGATTGTGTTGTTCGAAGAGCAACCTGTACTTTTACAGGAATCTTTCAAGACAACAAAAATAAAGGTGAACGCAGCCATACAATGGACTATATTAGTAAATGCACATATCCAGCTGCACTCACAGCTTTCTATTAGACTCTTTTCCATTCAGAAAATCAAACAAACACAAACAAGCCACAATCTTACAAAGACAGTAAGAAATCTTACTGCAGAATGATGGGAAGAAAATAGGTTGGTGGTTTAAAAAAAAAAAAAAGAGGCGCCATATCTCCAGGGGGTGTAAATCACTATAGCTCCACTGATTTTTAATACTGATGATTTACACCTGCTGAGGTTTTGGCTCTGTATGTATATCTATTCCCTGCTGTGTTGCCGAACATACCAGTTACTTGTATATAATAATAAAACCAAGGATTTGTCTCCTGTCCGTCACACGATGCTCTGTCTGCTCACATCCACGTTGTACGCTGATGAATTTGAACAACCTCGGCCAAAATCTATGAAAATTCCTTCAGAATCAGAGTCAATGGACTCCAAAATCTGGTCCACTATATTCTCGGGGCTGGAAGAAGGGACTGGAATCAAGGCAGGGTCCCTGGCCAGCTCAAAAGCCCTGTTTTGATCACCCATGCTGTGAAAGAGTCCTTGCTGTTGCTCAACTGCATTGAGTTTGCTGGAACATTCCACTGAACTGGGACTGGGCCTTTCTTGTTCTCCTGAGAGTGAGTTCTTTGTGGTTGTCACAGAGCTTTTGGAACCATTGTCCATGATGGTTGTGAGATTGGAGTACCCTTGTAGCTCCATGCATGAGGTCATTTCAGAAACGGAGTGCCTTCGGATGCCAGTTCCATTGGCTGCAATACCCTCTGTTTCATACTCAGCTACCGGGGTCAGCAGTGGGTTATTGTAGCTTTTCGATCTCACCACGGGGTTCTTGGCAAGGATGTCACCTGATTTGGAACGTCTGAAGAACCGCTTCTCTGTAAACAGACACAAATCTCGATTAAAATCTCTGAAGTCTCTGTCTTTTATAGCGCCAACCCTAAGCATTCAAAAATAATAAGTCATAAGATTGGCATAAAACATAAGATTGGCATAAAAATCATAAGCTTTTTAAAAGAATCAATGTTGGGTTCTTTTTATTTACCTTCTGGTTTTTGAGCCTTTAAGGATCATATCTTCAAGCTTTATTCCACAAACATGAGGGCTAGAAACTTACTTAAAAAAATAAAGCTGAGATTCTCTAATATTCACATGATTCCAAACACTAGGGGTTTAAGAAGAATGCCAAATATTGTGCGACTTGTGATAAAATTGCAAGAGTTTGTGACGGTGCTTTTATTTAATGACAAACCAGGAGTGAAATTCTGCTCTTAGACATGCATGGCTATGGATGTGACTGGAAGTTCCCCACATGTAGGAAGAAGAGAGGATTGGAATCAAAGTTTACTGTGAGGATCTGAGACCCAGCTTTTTATCCTGTGTCTGTTGCAGTTGAGCTCTCTTTTGGTTTAATTGAGCTTGTTCTTTCACCAAACGAACTCCTCCAGGATGAGCAAAAATGTGCATTGAGAAGATGGTGTTGCTAACTATAATTAAGCTATTTAATGATATAAAATCCATCCAGAGCAGTTATGCACCAGCCACCTGTCCTCTGAAAATCAAGTCCCTTTAAGGCACCTCAAATGTGTAATCACTTTGAAAAATCTTGGTTTAAAAAATTAATTTGAGATTACATGTACTGCCAAGGTGCTGTGTGACCCAAAATAATATCAGAACCTATCTCATGATTGGGATAAGAAATCTGAACTCGGTTTCATAGTATTCTAGATTTTCACAGCTAGTTGCTAGAATTCAGTTAATCCACAGCTCCATTTTCATACAATGACCACTAGGTGGCAGTAATTGTATATTACTGGCATATATTACTTTTGGAACTGTGCCGTTTTCATGAAACATTCATACAAGATTGAAATAATTATTAAGCATCCTTCCAGAGGTTCCACTGTTCTCCTAGTTACCGGCCAGAGCCTGGCTACTACTCAGGATGCTTTGAGTGGGAACAATCATACAGCTACTGCATCTGGTCTTCAAACGATTGCCCTGCTGCTCCTGTCGCTTCACCATCTCAGTGTATAGGGCTATGGCTGGGGCAGAGTGTGAAACTATGCTTTAGTGATTCCCCACCTACCAGAATGTCCCCGTGGAGCTTTTGGCAGCTAGGCATAAATAAAGGCTTACGGCTGCTCTAATTTAATACAGAGACCTGGTCCAGGTCTATTAGCTCAAAGGCAGTAGACACTTATGCTTTTAAATCCATTGAACCTGGGTTCAGTTCCTGCAGATGACTCATCCCGGAGCATCACTACAATCCAACACCACTGACATATCCCCAGTGTAGATAAGGCCTTAGTGCTTCAATGTTTGGGTTTCAAATAGAGTAGTGGAATGTTTGTTTATTTTAAAAATTCTTTCATTGGAATTTTATTAATTTTTGTGGGAATATTTCTATTGCTCTTGCGTTTTGTAAAAGCTGGTGTTCAAAAGATGTCAAATTTGGGCCACTATGATGGATCCGCTCAGCAAGAGACTACAGCTCCCCTCAGCCCTCTCCCCATTGCACATCCCCTTCCTCCAGGTCAGATAAGGAAGTGGTCCAGTTCTGACTGGAAGTGGCAGCTGCATGGCTAGTGAGGCGCTGCAGGGAAGCTGAAACAGCAGTGGCTGGGGAGGTAGCCTGTGCAAAAGGGCCCCAAGGAGAGATGCGATCATTGCTCACTTTGAACCGTTTAAGGCTCTGTACCTAGGATATCTGCCACCTTTCCCTTTTCTGCCAGGCCCAGAAGAATACCCTGGACCATAGCCATGTGACTGAGCAGTTTTGGGGCCCCACCAGAACTAGTACCAATGAGGCCTGACTGCTGAAGCACCTACAAGTCAAGATCACGGGACATGCTACTGGCACCCTAGGGACTTGGTGTAATAAGCAGCCCCAATAATCACACTGTTTCATGTCCCTTTAATAGCAGTGATGAATACAAAATGGTTCTTTTGAATCATCGTTTTCTGAAGATAACCAGCCTAGACTGACTCACATAAAATTGATCTGTTTCTTTAAATGCCTGTTGCAACACAATCCACTTTCAATTCAGCTTCATGTGAAAATCATGAACTACCCTATTGACAATTTCATATGAGAAAATGGAGTAAATCAATTGCCCAGAAAATGCACAAGTTAAAGTATATCCAAACTGGGTAGCAAATTACTTGTTTTTAAAACTATGGATATAATTACTACTCTTCCATTCTGACTTGCAGTCCCTGTGTATTTCCCTATGGTTTCAACAGTATAATTTGTTAGTCTCTAAGGTGCCACAAGTACTCCTGTTCTTTTTGCGGATACAGACTAACACGGCTGCTACTCTGAAACCTGTCAAATGGAATAGCATTCAGTATTGGCCTAACTCCACCTCTACTGACATTAGCTGGAATCTTCTATGGAAGACACTGAGTGCTTTTGATCATCCTTCACCATCATTTTCTGTCCTAAACAGTTGTATGAAGTTGCTGGGTATTGATAAAAAGGCACAACGCTCCATTCCAGAAATGGCTACATTTAGGCACAGTGATTGTTGCATGCACTTCTTGTATCTGCACATCCTCTCTCCTTCTACCTCACATTGTCCATAAAGCACCCTGAGTTCAGTTCTTCTCATTGAAAGTGATATAGAGAGAGATGTAAACTTATTCATAGATTTTAAGGTCAGAAGGGCCCATTATGATAATTTAGTCCGACCTCCTGCATAACACAAGCCAAGGAACATAAAACTTCTTTTATTACAAATTTTATTTCAGAGTTTCAAAAGCTGGAGGAGGCTTGGTCAGGCTTAGCTGTAATTTTGTGTGCCCCCAGCACACCATAAAGGAAACGATATGTCCCTGTTTTTCTGGCATCGACAATCACCTGTTTTATGGGCATCAGTGTGATGTATTTACAAAGCTTTCTGGCTCACCATCTGCACTATGTCAAATCAATGACATTTTAAAAGCCCCTGTTATTCTTACCCAAAATACAAGAAGAGTGTGTGAAGGGTCCATCACTGGAATACAGACCATATGTGCCCAAGTATGGGGAAACCACCTTCTGTATCAGGGATTCCAGTTTCAAATAGTCTTCAGTCACTCCTTTAGATTCGTGAACCCCCTGAAAGAAGGAGCAAAATGGAACATTAATATTGTCTCCCAACATCTTAAGCTCAAATTGCTCACCAGAGCAGAGAGCCAGCAGGTATTCTGATTGCATTATATATGAAAAGGACACATGCTGTATTACATTGGTTTATTATGGTTATTATTTGTATTGCAGTAGTGTATGGGGAGCCCAATCATAGACCAGAACCCCTTTGTGCTGGGCACTTGTACAAACACATAACAACAAGACTGCCGCCAGGAGCGTACAGTCTAAGGGTCTGTATATCTACACTGCAACTGGGAGGTGTGACTGCAGGACTTGCAGACCTACCCGAGGTAGCTTTGATTCCAACTAGCTTCAGTAATAATAGCAGTGAAGCTGCAGCTGCACAGACTAGCCCCGCCCACCAAGAACTCCGGTTACATACTCAAGTATGTAACTTTGTGCTTTCTAAGACCTTGTCTACACTTGCAGTGGCGTGTAGGGTTCATGTAGCTACATGCTGCGTCCACACTCACAGGAGAGTGTAGCTCTCCACTGCTGGAGCCTTTCCACACTGCCTCCCCCTGCCAGAGCCTTCCTTGCTGACAGAGACTTTCTCTGCAGTGGGGAAAGCCTCCAGCACCGAGGAGGCAGCAGGATGCTACACTCCTAAAAACAGCAGTGTAAATGAGGGAGACAGGGCTTGGGTGTGTGGAGAGCCATGTAAGATATATACCCTGGAAATCAGGGATGCAGGGCTCTCTACTTTGTTCATCTAAGCAGTGCCTCATCATTTACCCTGCCATTTATTCCCATGCCAGTTAGGCGTGCAATGTCTGTACTCCACTCACTGCCGTAGACCCTGTCCTGAGTGAGCAAAGGTTTACAGATCCTAAACAAGGGCCCAAACCTACGTGGTGCAGAGCATCTCGTAAAAGATGTCTGATGCCCTCAAAATTCCTAACTCATTGATAGCTTCACATACTGCAAATATGACACCAAAATTCATACATCAGGGTTTTGACAAACTAGCTGATGCATTTGTTACATGGAAGTTCTGACTCTACAGCCACTGGCTTCAATGGCAGCTGCTCATGTACTGCAGTTTGAGAATCAGACCTATAGTCTCTCAGAAACCAAAGCAGAAGAACAGACACTGCGGATCATGATTAAAACTGTCACTGTTTTTTTTTTTTTATTGTGACCTACAAGCACCACTTGATTGAACGTTTAGTAAAACCTTGTCGATGTTGCTTGAGTGGCCAGTACCACAAGGTGTCACTGCCCTCTAAAGCAATACAAACAGGACTGTGACATCTAAGAGAAAAAAGTAAAACATGGAACCTCTTAAAATACATAGTCAAAGATTTTTATGATTTTCATCAAAAATATGTGTAAGAAAGTGTTGTTTCTAGTCTTCCACGCACTTTCCCTCCCCCCAGATCTTGTCACTGTTCAGGCAAAACTCCCATTCAAGTCAGTCAGGGTGAAGTTTACACCTGTGGCAGAGGCTCTGTGCAGAAAGGTGAATTTCACTCTTAGCTCCTGACCTTCCAACTACATCTGTGTCATGGACTACTGCACCTGCCTGGAGGCCCCTCCCCGACTTCAGTGGGGTTCCACATGGGCATAGGGTTGTGCCCACACAGATCTCATGGCAGGATCGAGATCTTATAGCATACATTTTGAAGCCAATGCGAGTTTTGCCTGAGTAAAGATTTCAGAAATCAATCCAGTATTACAGGGTATGTCTCTGGTGTAACCCTGAAATAATCATAAAAACATCAATAAACAGTGTTCTCAAAGGAAAGCAAGGAAACAAACATGCAGATTGAACTATTAACTCTGAATAAATTACCCGTGGTTCTCAAACTGTGGGTCGGGACCCCAAAGTGGGTCGCGACCCTGTTTTAACAGGGTTGCCAGGGCTGGTGTTAGACTTGCAGGGGCCTGGGGCTGAAGCTGAAGCCCAAAGGCTTCAGCCTTGGGTGATGGTGCTCAGGTTACAGGCCCCACACCTGCGGCTGAAGCTCTTTGGTTCCCCACCCTTCCCCTGGCCCCAGCCGGGCAGCGGAGCTCAGGCAGGCTCAGGCTTCAGTCCCCCCTTGTGAGGTCATGTAGTAATTTTTGTTGTCCGAAGGGGGTCACAGTGCAATGAAGTCTGAGAACCCCTGAATTACACAATGGATGCCCTTTCTTCTGTTCATGAAATGATCCCCATTTTTGTAGATGTATTTGTTATCTGTCAGTATTCACCAAATAGCTTCTGAGAACAAATTTCAGCCTGTAAAAATGTCTGTGAATGGTTCACTTCATTTCTTTGCCACTTGTACTGTGTGATTAATAACTGAAGTCACATGTTATTACCTCTGCTCCCTGACTGGATGATTGAAAGTTTTTAAATGGAAAATAATAAATGATGACTAACAAAGAGCAAACAGGGCTGCATCCCTATTCAGTGGGGTTTAGAGAATAAAGAATAAACTTCTGAGATGAATTTCTCCTTAAATATTCACTCGGGCTAAATTCTGTGATGCTATCAGGATTCACAATCATTTTAATAACTATAACAGAGTCCACCAGCAATCTGAAAACTCATAATGTGACCTCATGAGTAACATCAGAACGAACTCACTACGTAGATTTGCAAATCTTTTTTTTACACTATTCAACCAATTATAATGTGGATATCTGAGCAGACAGAAAATAAGAGGAAAAACACTCAAAAAGTTATAATGAGAGAGAGAGAGAGAAATAACAAAAACATTAGGTTAAATATTAGGAAAACTTTCTAACTATAAGGATAGTTAAACACTGGAACAGGTTACTAATGGAGGTTGTGGAATCTCCATCATTGGAGGTTTTTAAGAACAGACTGGACAAACACCTCTCTAGGTCAGTGTGTAGTATATAGAGCAGTACAAACAAGTCACTGTGTGTATGAAATTATATTTTTTACTGAATTGGCTAGTGCTTTTTTATGTAGCCTGTTGTAAAACTAGGCAAACAGCTAGATGAGTTGATATACCTCCTGAAAGATCTCTGAGTACCCCCAGGGTATGTGTACCCCTGGTTGAGAACCACTGCTCCAAAGCACTTGCAACCCCTCCAAGCTTGGTATCGTCCACACATTTTAGAAGTGTACTCTCTATGCCATTATCTAAATCACTGATGAAGATATTGAACAGAACTGGACCCAGAACTGATCCTTGCAGGACCCCACTCGTTATGCCATTCCAGCTTGATGGTGAACCACTGATAACTACTCTCTGGGAACGGTTTTCCAACCAGTTATATGCACCCACCTTATAGTAGTTTGTTTATAAGACGGTCATGCAAGACAGTATCAAAAGCCTTACTAAAGTCAAGATATACCACATCTACCACTTCCCCCTCTCCACAGACTTGCTACCCTGTCAAAGAAAGCTATTAGGTTGGTTTGACACAATTTGTTCTTGACAAATGCATGCTGTTACTTATCACCTTATTATCTTCTAGATGTTTGCAAACTGATTGCTTAATTATTTGCTCCATTATCTTTCTGTGTACTGAAGTGAAGCTGATTGGTCTGTAATTCCCCATATTGTCCTTATTTCCCTTTTTATAAATAGGCACTATATTTGCCCTTTTCCAGTCCTCTGGAATCTCTCCCGTCTTCCATGACTTTTTGAAGATAATCGCTAATGGCTCAGACATCTCCTCAGTACCTCCTGAGTAGGAGTTGACTGAAGAGGTATCTGAGCCATTAGCGATTATTCTCCAATCCCGGGGGAGAGAAGCAGTCCTACTACTCTGTCGTAGTGCTGCTATCTCCCCTGGGATTGGAGAAGGATTCTGCCTGCTGTTGTAAAAGGCACTTGAAGAATATGATCAGTTCACTAGCATTATGGGATCTTCTCTCCTCCCACAAGCTCTTTCACAACAGCATCTGACAGTTCAATTTCACCTCCAGTTCAGTCACAAAGTTCCTTCTTTCACTTGCAAGAACTAGAATGACATTAATCTCCAGCCCTAGTTTTTACTTTAGTTTATTTGCATCCCCACTTTTCAAGCATGGAGACCGCAAAGTGCCGTTATCTTTGAATGAGGTTAAACCTCCAGCTGGTTGACACAGGCAGCAATTAGTCTTAGCCCTCAGCTCTGTATTCAGTCATCAGACATTTTTCAATACTTTTTGAAAAGCCATAGAGCATCTGGCTCCCTCCGGAGATGTGATGACCTTTCTTTGTCTCTTGGCACAAATACATTGTTACCACCTGCAAGATCCTTCCTGCCCAAACTATTGTTACAGCTCTTCCTGAATTCTCTGGGAGGGGATTGTGACTTTAGCGATTAAACAGCAGAATATATATCTATATACACACACACATTTTCAGTGGTGCAATTTGTATGTCGCCTCTCTTAATACCAGAAGTATGATGGACTTCAAGCTATATGATGAACTTGTAAAACTATTTATTTTTGGTGTGTGAATAAGTGCCAGATTGAATGCCCCAGAGCCCTGTATTTATCCAAAGAACAGGCACAGCACCATGCATAAGCATGTGCCCAGCTTCACCAATATACCTGTATGTGCTGAAGGGACCTCCTCGATGTGAGAGGGGGTGTTGTGGTATCCGTGTGTGAGGAGATGAGTTATCCCTGAACTAGAGCCTGATTAAGCCACCTGTGGTGATGAGTCATTTTTGAGCTAGGCTCCAGCCAATCCACAAGCCAGGAGCTGGTCTGGTGACTCTCAGGGCAGATATACAAGCCTCACAGGAGAAACAGCAGCTCAGCCTGCCCAGCATCACTTCATAACTTGGAACTCTCCCCTGCCTGATAGTGGGGACAAACTCCACAGGTTTTAGCCTGCTCTAACCTAGCTCCCAGCCCTACTCTTGCTTTCCTGCTCCTGAGTATGTCTCCCGTTTCTGGTCTAGCTGCTACTACACTGACCACTAGGCATGACTTCCACTGCTCCAACCACTAGACCTGACCCTCCATGTCTTGCTTTCTGACACCATGGTGCTTTCAGTCCCAGGCCTCTC